GATCCCTTCACCACTCATTAGGCATTCGTTTGGATATGTTCATCAAAAGGTCATTAACTTTCTACATGTAGCACTACTTTGGATGCAGGAGGCATTAGTTTGGTAAGGCGAGCCCTCAAACTTTCTGTAGTAATCAGATCTCTTGTAGCTTCGAGGAATATTAACGAACTTCGTGATTTGCATAAGAGATAGTGTAATAAATAGAAGCTATTAACCAACACCAGCCTAATTGTAGCATATACGCTTAAGTGGGAAATATTGACACAGAAGTGTCACAAGAATAGCCTGCAGGTTGGAAGCAATTTCAACAGAGAGCATATTATTTACCTCAAGATTTTTGAATTCGAGCCCAATGTACTCTCGCAAGAGCGAGAGGTGAAGCAGGCAGAAGGGAATGTCCCGTGGGATAGGAGATCTGGTAAATAAGGAAAAGAGCTAAACGACCCATAGAGATGCCTGATCAAGCTGGAGAGTGGACATGTTATTGTGCACAAAACTCCTGGTTTTATCTCAGGTACGATCCGGTTAATTTCGCAAAACGATTTTAAGAAGAGAGCCGAGACTTCTTGAGATAGACTTACATCAGTTGGAATAAATGATTGAGGGCGTATTCATATAGGATACGCGTTCCACAATTAATGCAGCAAACACGAAAAGGCGAGGTACAGATAGTGTGTCGAACATGACAACTTACTTTACGGTGTAAACGTTTTCCCGCAAAATGCAGAGATTCGGTTCGTGGGTGGATAGACCCAAGAATATCTATAAATAGTTTTCAATCGAACAGTGAGTAGCTGGTAGTCCAAAAATTGAGAAATTATTAAGAAAGGAAATTACTTGATCGATATGGGCAAAACTCAAACTGATGAGCACCAGAAATCAAAGTGATGTACAGAGACTAAAAGATATACATCCGATGCACGCACATAAGCTGATTTTAGAGAAACGCAAGTGTCAACCTCAACCCCCATATTTCCATTTGTCGTAACAGGAATAACATCCAAGCAGTTCAAAAAAGAAATGGTAAGTGGAAGTGGATAGGGGTAGGCACTCCCTAAACATTAGAGCGCCAACACGCAGAAGGTAACTGACCTCCTTAATTCATCAATACAACTTCGATGGCAGCTTGAATGCATTTAATGGCAGTATTTGTCGGTTAACTCGGCAACTGCTAGCGTAGTGCATCCGGTTATCCAAATATAAAATGTGTTGCTCGTCTCCATGAGGGCGCAAAATATCACGTTAAAATGAAACGTAATCAGTTTGAAGGAAATGGTTAAGAAGAAATTAAAAAGTTATTAACAGCACTAATAGTGGTAAAGACACCACCGAAGCCAATGAATTCGAAATCGAGGTCTTCATATGCTAGCGAAATAAAGTTACACAGAGGTAAAGACTGGAAGCGAAAAAGCCTACCAAGTCCGCGTCCATACCGTACAGGCAATGGCGCTCATTGGGCCGGTACCCGGGACGACTTCGTTGGTACGCCATATACTCCCTTATTTTCTGTTCTCCTTCGCCAGGAGCCTAGGATAGCACACGAAAGACATTAAAAGAGAACAAACTCAGAATGAATCTAGGTGATAACCAGAGTCAAAAATACCATCACATGCAGTGTCTTCAAATTAACAAACATCTCGTTTCATATAATATAGCTGGCAGATGATAATACTAAACATCTCGAAGAACACCCCATATTTGTTAAATGCAAGATGGTGACAATCCTGCATCAAGCAAATAGGATTCTTGTACGAGTGTTTGACAAAGCCCCAATAATGTTTAATGAATAAAACGTCCTTTCTGAAGAACTTCAAAGGAAAGAAAATTATGCGAGAATCGTGTCTTACAACAAATGTACAGAAAGCATAAGCGCCATCTTACGTCGTGCCCAGAGTAAATAACATCGACGCGGCTCCAAAGAGGATCTGTGGCTAGTTGCTTAGCGATGAACCCTTTGAAAAACCCATGTAACCTCTCCATAAATTCAGTTCCTGGTGGAGAAAAAAAAACTATCGTAGCGCAAAACTGCATTTATGATAGCGCCTTCGTCTATCACCACAAAATGTTCAGTAAAAAGGCAAAATAAATGAACTTGCCATCGAACCAATTAACTTTATTATTAGTAATGGTTAGGCTAATGACAACATGTTTCACCTAGCATAAACCCATTTACTTTCTATGCATCTGCGTGAGCAATAGTTCAAGTACACAGTTTGATGGAGGACTACTATTAATAGGAACGAATGCATTCAAGCAATCGATAACGCCTCGGCTAAAATAAACCTCACAGCAAAGAATTGTTGGAAAAGTTAGTTTTCGGCCTTTCAGTTGTGAAACCATTCTTGGTAAAGAAAACTAGTAACTTGAGTGGCCAGCAATCCAGAAAACCCATGCTGAGAGGAACATGAAAAATTAACCAGAACAGAGATTAACACTACAGTTAGAAAGTGAAATACTTACCGGGGGATATAACATTGGGATCGAAAAGACTCTTTTCATCAAAATCAGGTTCTTGCATCTTCCGTTTTATCAACTCGGCAGCCAACTTTTTGGATCCTCTGGATAACCAATAAAAGTAAAAACACACATTCACCAAATCAGCCAAACAAGTTCCACAATATCTCGATCTAAAGCGTCAAGTTTATTCGAATTACACGGCAAGCTTGAATCCAGTGTAAAAATGGGGCATGGGAAAAGCAATAACAAAACGAAACACGTTCCCCAGGTTAAATAAAAGATGACCTACACAAAACGACGAGCCCGTTGCTGAGTCATCTTCGCACGTGGTGCTACACCATCAACAGCGAGGAAAATAGTTTTCTGTGGCCTTATTAGACAGATTATGTGTTTCAAGTAAGTTGCGATAGTTTGAAACACGGAATCTTCGTCATAGATATTTGGATTTCCATCATCACAGTGTGAAGAAGTGTGGATGATACCATTCAAATCAAGGTATAAATGATCAATTGGGATCGTCTAGGAAATAGAGGAACAATCATGACAACGATGACATGCCTAAATTGCATAATAAATAGTCCACTGAAGAGTCAAGACCACCAATTAATTAAGGGATACGATTTTCAAATGAATCTACTCAAAGGTTAAAGAACTGCAAGATGAATTTTGAGCAATATTGACGGGAGAATAATGAAACAAATGATATGTGGAGCCGAAACATTGAACTGTGGATACGGATTAACTAATTAGGATCGTAACGCTGCGCATCTGTGAAACGTTTTTATGGGGGAAGACTTCTTACAAAAAATAAGTATCACTCTAAACGAAAGAATCGAATGACATCCAACAGTAGCTGTGTCGGTGTTAAAGATAGCAACCATGGTGGATTGGACACAGAAAGGTAAATCACCTCATTTGGCTGCAGTATCTGATTAATACACGGGTAGCGCTGACTTATCCACCGATAAAACTTCGGCACACCCATAGAGTACCCCCTGAACCAAAGATTTCAGACTTATCACAAGGCAGGGGTTTATTTAAACAACGACCTAAAATCCAGCCCCATATAAAACAGTCCTTATGTACTTATTACAGCACATTGGCGTTATATTCGAGAAGGAATTTAGGTTTTGTGTTTCATTTGCAATGTTTAGCTACTTGTGGAACCAAATCAAA